TTGTCAAAAAAGCGGACTTATCTGTGAGATTTTAGGGTAATCATTGTTTGCTAAACTCACTGCCGTTTCCCATATGTGCCGACTTTCTTATGTTTTTTTCTCGAGCAATCGGACCGGCTCCGAAGGGTATTTTTCTAATTAGCGCCTTACCTAGATGTCTTCAAACAAATGCCGAAATCCCGCACTATTGTAAACACGCAATGAACCCGCAGTTGGGTCGTATTGTCCAAATTGACAGTACGTACGACCCACCGGCGGATCTTATTCTCGTGAACTGGGAGTGCCGCGCATATTCCACAGCGATGCAAAACATTATGGCTGAAATCATAACAAATGTCAAATCTCAAGGGATAGAACTTGGATTGAATGCATTTATGAATGAGGTAATCATTGTTTTTAGGGGCACAAGCCAACGGATTCAGTGATGGCGGTGCAATGTGGAGAAGCGCTTTCGATTTGTCAGGAAAGAATACACCGAAAGTGTTGGATTTCAATGAGCAAATAGAAAAAATATACCAAATGATAGAGCCGCTTTACAAAAATGTTAGTGAACAAATTACATTCGCTATCTGGTATCAGATTAATTGTTTCAGTTGCATGCGTATATGAGGCGTCAAATAGCTGGAATTTATGGAAATCCCACCGGATTGAGCAAAAATGGACCGATTCCAGCACATCTGTTTGGTACGTAATTCAGTTTCTTTGTCTATTAGCCTTTTAGAATGTTCTGTTTGAATGACTGCGCAAATTCGAGGTGGAATTGAGATATCCGATTACACTCGGCAGTCTAGAAACAAAATCTCAAGTGATGTTTGTGCCTCCGACTCCATAAAAGAAGGTCATGCAAACAGAGTTCTCTTACCTGGAAGTGCAATGATTAAAAGAATTCGTAGAAAGAAAGATTACTCTGTTTACGTAGGAACAGCTACTGCAAAAGGAGTCCTGTTGATGCCTCCTTCAAATGTATTCTAGCTTTTCTTACGGCGAAGTTGTCTCATTTCCCTCCTCAGCTTTGTATGCTAACTAGTAATAGTTAGACGGTTACTTCAAAGGCCAGAAGTACGGATCAAATCGGAGAAGAACGGAAATGAAAGAAGAACGAGTCAGAGGTGGAGGGCATTCGTGGTCATGGGTCCGCGAAAGGATTGGGAAGCATCTCAAAA